ATATAGTATATTAGAGCTGCACAGCGCCCACTTATATGCATTAAAGCTAGTAATCCAATTAAACTACATTAGACAGTTTAACTATATGACAGCTTTCTTTTGATGGTTTCTGACAATAATTTGTAGGATATGTCGGGAAGGATGGGACAGGATTTAGACAGCTTTTCTTCATCTCCAGCAACACTGAAATTTAAACACACCACAGTTGTGATATGACCCTGAAATTCATGCAAAGTATTTTCAGTCCAAAGCGGCTCTGCTCATATGGCTCATATGCTTATTTATTTTGTGTGCTCTGCAGTTGTAAGTGCAACAAATTTTAACGGTAATGTTCTGACAATAAACAAAGCATATGAAATGGACTGGGCTTCAGCAGGATCTGCCCTGATGCCAATTCTGCTTGACAGCTATGAGTCTTACAAATATAAACATCATTAATTACAGGGCTGGAATACACTTCTTTAAAAAAATGTGAACTGTTTCTGCCTTGGGGAGCACTCTCTTGAAACAGAGGATCAGAAATTGTAACCCCCTTTAAGAGCTCCCCTACTTAAGTCAGCAAAAAGAAGGTATTGTTCTTGGTGTGTGTGTGGGTCAGCCGCTGCTGCCTTCCCAGACTGTTGCGGGGGCTAACTCCAGTCAGATGACTGGGCAACATTCAAACCCACTGTTCTGGCTGAAAGACTCTGCTGAGAAATAAAGTGAGGCACTTGGGGAAACAAAGATAGAGAAAATAATGACAGAAACAAAGAGGAAAGACGGAAAAACAGTGCAGGTATGAAATGATTCAGAAAGGTCAGGACATAAAATTAGATTAATACAAATGGACTTATTTTAGACTGTGTATACAGACAAATCAACACATTCAGATTTGGGAGTAAATGCTGATACACACAGAAACTGTCCATATGCTTCTACTGTACTAACACTACTGTACACACTGGGCTGTGTGTGAATCTGACTTTCTGCTGCAGTCAGCATTTTGATTTCTCTCGTCAAGGTGACAATTTGCCCCCTTCCCTTTTCAGTCACCTCCATCTCCTCTCCCCTTTGTCTCCAACAGCGTCCTCCATTATTTTAACACAAGTTCAACACCCCCATCTGTAAAAGGTGGTGGCAGAGCAGACTGGACTAACCAGCATTACTGGAATGTACAGATAGTAATAATAATACAAACTCTGTCATGTGGAAAAAAAGGTTTAGCTGAAGTGTTATGCTTTTTTCAACATTATTTTATCTTTTAATGCCTGAATCGATATAATTGAAATTCAATTGCTTAATTTTAGACAATTTATTGTTGTAATCTAAGAGAAATGTGATGCCAGTACTATTTAAAAAAGCAAACAAAGCCGGAGTGAGAAAGCAGAAAATGGCAGACAGTCTGAGGGCAGACTGCAACATGAATTAAGCAAATGTAAACCCCAGCACCGGGGGTCTGAACCTGGACCGCCCCGACTCCCTGCTGGATCAGCAAACTTTCTTTTTTGGGCATTTTTGCCTTTTATAGATAGGACAGTTAAGTGTGAAGGGGGGAGAGAGAGGGGTAATGACATGCAGCAAAGGGCCACACTAGGCTGGAGTCGAACCCAGGCCGCTGCGGCAATAGCTCTGTACATGGGGTGCCTGCTCTATCCACTAAGCCACAGACACCCCGGATCAGCAAAATTTCTGTTGCTGCCATTACACAGGTTAGACCCTTTGCTGCTGTGGCCGCTAGCCCACTGTGACCCCAGTGCAGGGGTTTGCACAGGCTGAACTTGAGTTATTAAAAGAGGAGAGCACCAACAGTGGATTTTTATAGTCTGAAACAATGATACCTTAGAGCAGGAAAAAGCCAATAGGTGATGAACTGGTCAATATTGTTGTTATATTTATATTTAGAAATATGCCTCATGATAGTCTCTAGATATGTATGGTTCAACTATACATAGTATTATCATAGTATTGATTAAGTAGATAGACATATTGTCCTAGCCCATGTCTTTCTACACAAATAGTTTCAGCATATAGATTTGGATGGTTGAGTCTGTATGTCTACATGTTTGTACAAGCACAGGTCAGACTGAACAACCTGCTGATGAGACAAAGACGCAGTTCAAAAACCGGCATGAGCAGCCATGCAAGTCTGACCAAATGTGTTATTCACCGTCTCAATGAAACGAACAAACCTCAGACCACAGCTGAAAATACTACAAGAGACGATACTGCGGTAAATCTAAGGTAATGGTGGCGTGTGTGTGTGTGTGTGTGTGTGTGAAACTTAATTAAAGGGAGAGTTAGAGCCACATAAATACAATAAGAACAGCCACAACACATCTTTTGCTTGTTTGAGACCAAATGGCCACTCAAATGGAAACCAGTCGAGTTCTGCAGCAGGAGCTGGTACAAACTGAATGAACACACATAAAAACTCACTAAAGCTGGTCAGATGAGGATATGCGTACTGCTCTCTCTCTGTGTAGAAAAAAACTGAAAAAATGCATACCCACTCTGCATCAGATTTATAAAAGGCACATATTGACGTTTCTCTTTCTCAACTTTCAAACATTGTGAAATTGTAATGTTAATGTTAATGAATTGCTGTGGTGGTTTTGAGATAATACTCAACAACATTCATACCAGCTGCCTGGGTTTTGTTGGAAACTAATGCAGTTACTGTGTCCGAAAAATCAGTTGTAATTAAGTACCGTTCAATTAATCCGAATTTGTGCTTTATCTGCAAGAAGTATGCAGCCACAGAGCTGTGCATTTAACTTATATGTCTCTGTTCTGCCAGTGAGTGAGTGTGCAGTCTTGTAAATTTGTACAGCACAGTGTGTGCGTTCCAGTGAACACTGTGTCCTTGGAAAAGTGTTATTGTGCAGAGTCGCTGTGAAGCAAGTGTGTGTGTAAACACTTCCTGAGGGAAGGGCGGGGGGCGGAGGTGGGGAGCGCTGCATGCTTACTACACAGTATTTTAACACATTGCTCATTAATTAGAGAGGGAGAAGAGGAGGTAAGAGAGACGGAGGCTAAATAAAAATAGGACATGGTCTATATGGTCTAATCTATCACTACTGTGCTCAGACGCAAAAAAAAAAC